ATCCGCTATCTGTTTATGGAGATTGATAGCGAAATTGAAATTTTATGTGAAAAATAAGAATGTCCGAGTTACCGTAAAAATTCGCGAGTATAATTTTTCTTTCTTATTAATTTAATTTATTTATTACATAAAACTTCGATTTTGTTATCGATCGAAATAAATGGATAGTGGTGCAATTTTATTTCTATAAAATTATCCGCTATCTGTTTATGGAGATTGATAGCGAAATTGAAATTTTATGTGAAAAATAAGAATGTCCGAGTTACCGTAAAAATTCGCGAGTGATTTTTGTGAGGCTTTGCCGAAGAGAGAAGAGGCTATATGCCGAAGAGCCCCGGCAAAAGTTGCCAAAGAAGAGGGGAACTATTAATGAATGATGTCCATCCTAAGATCTCATCCTAAGATCTTAGGATGGACAGTCATTCTGTCACTATGCTCGCTATTATTTTCTTGTATTTCACATGTGTTTTTTGAACGATACAAAATGTATCGTCAAGTTTTGCTCAAATTTTTACGAGCATAGCCACTCGCGATTTTATTCGCGATTCGAGATTTTTATGCCCTCCCAATTAAATTTCAAAATTAGAGATTTTTGCATAACTTCGCGATTACATTTTGAGATTAGAGATTTGCATATCCCTTCGCGATTCGAGATTTTTATACTTTCAAGATTAAATTTTGAGATTAGAGATTTTTGTGTCCCTTTGCAATTATATTACGAAATTAGAGACTTTGTATCCCTTCGCGATTCGAGATGTTTATACCCTCGCGATTATATTACGAAATTAGAGATTTTTATATCCCTTCGCGATTATTTTATGAAATTAGAGTGAGATTCACGATTTTTATATCCTTTCGCGATTTTAATTTCTCCCAATTTTATGTGTTAATTATTTTTCTCTGTTTCAGGAATTGATTTTGTATAAAATGTTTTATTGTTGACTGATCTTGAATTCGTAATTAATTCCGAGCTTGTGGGAGGAAGGGTGGGCTCGGGCGCAGGTTTTTCGCTGTTTTCCGGTAGGATCGTTTCACTTTTTTTCGTACAATTTTATAGGTTAATAAAGTTTTGTTTGTTTCAGAATTTAATTTTTTGAAAAGTTATGTTGTTCTCTGTTCTGAAATCCGCAATTTTCATTGCGTTTTGTATTTTTTGAAATTCTTGTA